TCACACAGAACATTGTCTCATGCAAGTGGGCTTCAAAAGTTCAAAACTTCCAGTATCTTTTTTTTTTAATTGCAGAAGGAAGCTTTATTGTTTCCATCAACAATAAAGTGAGAGGGGCTCCAGGACAGTGATGAAACTGCCTCTGGAATTTGGAAGGGATGGTTCAGGCAGAAGGTCTGAGGAAGGCAGAGGGCTCCTGGAAGGACAAGTCTCCACAGTTTCCTTGCTGTGTTTGAGGGTGAGCTTCTTGAAGAGATGCTCACCGAGCTCTTCCTGGGGGCCAGTCAGCATGCAGAGGGTGGTCAGGATATCATCCATATTCCTGAGGAGTTTCACCTCTCCATCAAGGGAATGGTTCTCCAGAAAGCCACAGAGGTGGGGTCTGTGTAGGTAGAACCTACATGAAGGGCATGAAGATGCAGAAGGGGCTGGTTCCGGTTCTTCTATTGTGCCAGCACAGCTTTGAGGGTGTCCATGTTTCCACCTCCACTTATCTTGGGCCAGGTCTATCCTTTTTGGAAGAGGACAAGGCTTTAAAAGATGCTTGGAATCCTCAAAGTGTCTCCTTTGCCAGCTCATAGTTGAACCATGCCTCCCAAGGCCACAGAGTCACCCCTCTGCTCACCCTGGGTTGGCAGGCACTACGATAACCCTAAGAGTGGACTCAAACATGGAGATGGCTCTGGGACAAACAACAGTTGGTTCTGTTCTATGGAAGGTGGCCATGAGTCAAAGCCAACTGGATAGCAACAAGTAATATGCCGACAGACGTAGACCATTGGGTTCAGTGACCCCTTTCTTTCCATCAGAACAGATAACTGCCAGTCTCTTGCCATAGAGTGCCTAGATATCAGTGAGACACTCACCAATCTACTCTTTCAATGGCCCCCAGAAAGACCACCGTGTCAGGGAAACCAGCCCCTTGCACATCATCACAGGCCCGGTAGGTGCAATTGTACAGCCATAATTAGTTAAGATTATAGTAAAGTCATAAAGAGCATGAGAGATAGAAGAGAGGTTGAAATAATGGAGTCAGACACATTGGATGGCCTGAGTCTTCAAGGAGATAACTTGACAATCTTTTACCATTCGCTGCAAGCAGTATCCTAAGTCTAATGTATATTTGGGGGAGACAACTTGGGAGAAATCTTTCTGTTTCCCACACCACTTCTAGACTCGAACCTCATCTTGGGTGTGAGTGTGTGTGTGTGTGTGTGTGTGTGTGTGTGTGTGTCCTCTATCATCTTGGGCCCTAAGGTGAAAGTGAAACAGTGAGTAGTCTGATCTACAAGCCTAGCGAAAACTCATCTCGTGTGTACTATAAAGCTGTGGTGCAGTGATGTCTTGACTTTTCTAGCCATAATCAACCAAATGACTGTTTACCTGATGGGTCGAGAGAGAAGTTGGGGGAGATGCTGATGGGAATATACGATTCATCTATGATTATCAATAGACTTCATTGTGATTATAAAAACGTGGAACTCCAGTGTGGTGATGGGTCCATTTAGAGATCCTGCTGGAGCTAAAATGAGCCATCTCAGTTGCAGAAGTGGGGGTTTCACTACCCTCCTGAAAGAAGAACCAGTAGTAGGTTGAACCTCCTTACTCCAGGGAAATAAAACTAATGGTAGAGGGGTGGCAGACGGGCAGCAGCAGCAGCAGCAGCAAAACCAGAGCCATAAAATAGAGTAGTGAGCTTCAAGGCCCATGGGTCTAGTGAAGCAGACTCTCTTCCAGCACGAGGCTTGCTTGTGCAGTGGGGTGCCCCCATGCTCTTAATTAGGGAGCTAGTTTGCTGATCCACTGAGTGAGAACTGAGTGTCTTCAGAACTGAGACTTACAGTGGAAGAGTGTACTCTGAGCATTTATCACCTATTCTAAAAGACTTTGTAACACTGCCAAAGCAGGGTAGAGGCTAGGCCAAAGGGCCAAGGGCCTGACTAAAGAACTGTATCCTGAGCATTTCTGATCCAAATCGTAACCTGTTACCTTCTAGCCAGAGGCTGGAGCTTCCCTAATCAACCCCATAACTGTGAGTATGGTCTGTGATTTTTGTGTGACCATTGCAATGAGTTCTCAAGACCAGCTGCAAAGTACAGAGTGTGACGGGGAGAGACAGTTAGTATCAGGCTTGGTAAAGAAGTGTGGCGGGTGGAGGAGGCACGTCTGCCTTCAGCTTCAAAAGAATCGACTTTGGATGGTTGAGTTTGATTCCTTTCCACCCTGTGAAGTCAGTCAGAGGAGGTCAGATGCCACCTCCATGCCACTTCCCACCCTCCCTGGAAGCCATTAGAAATGACCAGTGTCAATCAGTTATGACTCCAGGTGTTCTCCTGAGAACTGTTCTCTGCTGTGTTTCCTAGGCTGTAATCTCTCGACAAGCAGATTGCTAAAACGTTCTTCTGGTGGCACCACCACCGCATGGGTGCAAACTGCCAACCCACAGACTCGCGGTCGAGTAGAAGCCTGTGTGCCAAACAGGGAGGGAACCTCCGGACCAAAGCTTATACGTGTATGTTTGTGCACCGACAAAGACCAGAGGTGAAGTTACAGAGGCGTAGATCAATGTTCATGACTCTCTTTACTGAAGATGTTCACTGAATACGAGGGGGAGACAAATACTGGTTCCAAGCTTTGTTGTAGCCATACTGTGAAAGCTAGGGGAAGCCTCAGTGAGCCGGATGGACACACTGGCTTCCACGATGGCCGCCAGCAGAGCCATGGTTGTGAGAACGGCACAGGTCTGCTGTACATCGGGTCCAACGGAACAGACTCAGCAGCATCCAACACAACAGACAACAACTCACCGCATCTGCAAAGACAGGCACCACTTCCGCCAAGTGAGATGGGCCTGCAGCATCCATCCAGATGAGAATGCAAACTGCCTGCTGGGGAACAGGGCCAAGCACAGCGCGTGTCCCTGCCCGGCATCCCAACTTCACAAGCAAGGATTTGTGGGAAATTCCATTTTCCATCCTGCCAATCCCAGCAGGAGACAATCATCTTAACAGAATGTCTGGTCTTCAAGAAGGAAGGGTCAGTCCTACCCCCCTACATTTTGGACACATGTATTCACAATTTCCTACCGAGAGTAGGAGCCTCAGAAGCTGGACACAATTAGAGTGACCACAGAAAATACCTACAGGACACCTATAAAGTCAGAAGTGGGAAGCGTTTAGCTATGAGGAAGCTAAGATTTGTCAGAGCCTGGTGAGTGATCTATATAGACAGCAGAGATGAACCAGGCTGGGCTATTCTTCCCTCATAAGGAGGTTTGGGGAGACTGCTACTCCTTGGTAGGTGGGCAGGACACATCTTCCAAGAATTCTCTCCTGAGACACGTAGGCATGCTGTGATGGCCAGGTTTCCCACATCACCCAGACCCACCCCATAGGCAGCTCGGGGTAAAGAAGGGTCCAGCTCCCCAGCTGTGATCTTTCTTAGGGTCTAGACGAAGTTCCCCCCATAAACTCTCCAAGCAGTATGCTTCTCCTGCCAGGCAGAAAGTAGAGGATAGCACGGACAAGACGAGAACAAGACAGAGTAGGTGGAGCATCAGCCTGTCTGTAGCCTACTAAGGGACCTAAATTTCCCCTGCACTTCCACTCAGAACACACAGCTCTGTATTCAGAATATTCATTCCCAGTGGTAGAGGTCCAAGTCGGGTCTGAGAGGACCAGGGCTCCTAGCAAGTTTCTCCCAACAGGGGCCCCCATATGGAAAAAGAATGGAGTAGGGGTAGGTAGGTTGGTTTCTTGGGCTCAAGAACACATGAGTCATTGGCCTCAGTTGTTGACCCGAGCCAGCGCGGCTTCTCTTCTCTTCGCTCCTACACATCCTGCACACACTCCCCTGGCTCCGCAGGCTAATGATCCTGGGAGGTGTGGTGTGGAAGGCCCTTGCCTGTGGCTGGTCAGGAATTACCAAGCTGGCTCCGGACGTGGAGATGAGACCTGGGCTTGGCTCAGGGCTCAGGGCTTCGGGAAAGTGCATGCCAGCGCCGGACCAGCTCCTTGGGCTTGCTGACCATGGCATCCCAGTGCTCCAGCTCCTTGCGGCGGGCGTACATGTAGGGGCCCACCACCACGCGGCCCAGCTCACGGCTCTCTGTAGTGGGGAGAGCACAGCGCCTCTTGAAGCCCAAAAGCTGTTAGCTAGTCACATCCCAGAGGCTTGCCTCGCTCCCTCTTTCTTCCCTCTAAGAGGAATGCAGGCCCCTTACCTCTGTCAGCAGGGGACCAACAGGCCCCGAGGGGGGCTGCTTTGGCTCTAAAGCTGCAGGGGTTGCTTCCTCATTCTCAGGGCCACCCCATGCTGTCCCTCACCACCTAGAGGACCTCCCCACTCACATCAAAGAGCTGAGGGGTCCATTAGTCCACTGACATGTTTGCTCCCAAAGGGATGAAGACACAAGCTTTGCGCAGCCACCCTTTGCCTCACTATAGGCTGGGCCTTGAGCCCTGGACTGTGTGTAGATGGCTCCTTACAACTCTACCCCTCCACAGTGTGGGCTGGGGGAGCAGGGCTGGAATAACCCATATATGTATGTGGGTTATTACACACACATACACACACACACGGGTTATTACACACACACAGGGTTATTACACACACACACACACACACACACACACACACACACACTCCTTGTGCCTGGACCCAGGATCCTAAAGCCACACCGAGAAGGCATGAGGAAAGTCAAGGAACACTCAGACCCACTGGTGTTGTGTCATTTGGCCGGTGGCCAGCAGTCAGCTGCCTTCCAGCCTGGTGTTGTCCCTCGAAGCAGGCAGCTGAAGCCACCTCTCAACCCCTTGGCAGTGAACTCCCAGCTCTACCACCAGTTGGTTCTGCATTCCTAGGCAAGATCTGAGGCCTCATCTGAGTTCCCATGCCCTCACCTTAAACCTGAATGCCCCTCAAAGGTCTCTCTTTTGCCTTTGGCCTGCATGGCCTGGAGCAGGGTGGGGAGGCAATCTTACCGTGGGCCCCAGCGCTCTGCAGCACAGTCAGGCTGAGGCTGGCCGTGTCCAGCTCAGCGGGCTCAACCTTGAAGCTGAAGGTTTCATTGTACACTGGGTGAGCAGAGCCCAGGACAGCCGACGTCTTCTTGCACTTGACAAACTTGTTGTGGTTCATCAGAGATACTTTGACAAGAATACCTGCAGGGCAGTGCAGATAGACTCTGGGGCTGGCCAAGGAGGGTAGGGGCCTGGCACCAGCCCTCACCTGTGGAGACTGGCTCAGAGGGCACATGCCCAGGCGCCAGGTCCCCATTAGTCAGTGTAACCCTCAGACGGAAGGCTGGAGGAAACGGGCTGATTAGTACAATGCTCTCTGTTTGGGCCGAGGAAATACTCAGCTCCCTTCTGCTTCCTTCCTCAGCTTCCAGAACCCAGGCAGACCCTTGTTTGCTCCTCCCCTGTGGGGGCAACCCTAGTCTTCAGGACCTTAGACCAACTGTGGTCTCTTAGACACCTCCTGGCTTAGAGAGGTAAGTTATCTTAGGGATAGGGCTCACATGCATGTTAGGTGGTCAATGGAAGGTCTGAATTCCAGCATACTCCCAGTGACCTCCACTCATGCTAGGACCAGCCAGCAAACCCAAGCGGAGGGAAGCAGGGCCTGGTGTGGGCCTCTACTCCTCCCTACCAATGCCTCTACTTCAGAGGTAAAATACGGGGAGCTGATTGCCCTCAAAGTAGGGTGGAGTGGGTCTCCCCTGAAGGAACAAGACCACCCGGCCTGCAGTAAGCAAGAGGAGATCTGAAGCCAAGACCCTGCCATGTGACAGGGCAGGGCAAGGTCTGGTTTTAGGAGTGGGTGGAAGCCCTAGGGTACAGACTTGAGTTGTAATTGGGTAGAGGGTCTTAACACCAGAACTGTCTTTGGGAGAGGGGAGAGGGCAAGGAAGTTTCAAAGGCATGTGTGTGCCAGCAGACCCCTAGGTAACCAGGGCGGACGGAGACCTGCCCAAACCGGCAAAGGGAGGCAGGCGACTCACTGACAACACTTCTGTCTTCCCGGAACTGGAGGCCCCTGGCTCGCAGCACCACCACGGTCAGGCGGCTCAGATAGTTGTTGTAGCTCAGGCAGAACTGGAGGTCACCAAACTCAGAAGGAGGCTGCAGGGGTTGAGATGAAGGCACCTGGCCACTCCGGGCAGGAGCTGACCCCTCTGCTCCCAGAAGCAAGGGGAACCCTCCCTACCGGCAGGCACTAGACCCTGTTCTCCTGGCCTGGGCCACCTTCTGTCAGCTCAGCCCATAGCCCATTTTACCGATAGGACCCCAAGGCTGCGGCAACTTTCTCAAGCCCGCAGACTAGGATGGAAGGGTTCAAGCCAGGTCGGTCGAGTTCTAAAGCCCTCTTGGGCTCTTTCCTTGGTCATTTGTGGGTGTCACCTCTTACATGGTTTGACTCGATGGGGATTCAAGGGTGCTTTCTTCAAGTTGCTCAGGACATGTGACCACCATGAGAAATGAGCCTTAGGGGACCCCTCCCTGTTCCTCCTCCCAGCTCTCCCTCCCCAGGCATCTCACTTTGGGATTCACCAGACAGACCTTGCAGGACTGGTGGACCAAGTCTCACTTGCAGGGTTGGTGGGCAGGATTCTGTGAGCCACTTCTGAGGGCCTGGGCTTTGCCACACTGGTGTCTGCCCAAGGTAGTGCTGGCATACATCTCACGACTGTGACTTTTACCTCTAGGCTTTCGGCCTCCAAGTCCCTCCAGACAACACGCCGGCAGTCACCCGCCAGGGTCTCGTTCTTCAGCGGGAATAGCACCTGGCCCAGGAGCTGGTGCTTCCGCTGCCTGTCCACGTGGTACACAGAGAATTTCAGCACCCTCTGTATGATGCTCTTGCTGGACACCTAGGGGAGACGAGGGCCCAGGCCAAGGTCAGGTGTGGGATTGGAGATGGGATGGTGTGACAGGCTTTTCCAATGAGGATGGGCTCAACCATGTATCTGCACACTCCAAGCCCTGGCATCCTTTTGGGCTCTTCGAAGCAGCTAGGGCAAAACCCCCAGGGAATGGGAGGGTGGCAGAGCCTCACCACACAGTGTGGTTCCTGGGTCAGCCCACGGAAATGAAGGATCTGGGGCCCAATCTGTTCTGGATTGAGCCTCTCGGCCCCCATCCCCCAATCTGTGCTGGAAACCTAACCCCGTACCTGTATTTGTAATGACTTTCCCTAATATAATCTAATGTGACACTCATGAGGCCATACCAGTGTGGGGTGTATCCTATACCTAGTCATTTCTGAATTCTACGGAGAGCAGATTAGAGAAGCATAAATCTAGGGAAAGGGGTGTCATGTGAGGATTGTCAGGGAACCAGAGTGTCTGGGGCTGGCAGCCAGGATGGAATCCACATGGCCAAGAGCCGGATTTGGACTTTCAGCCTCCAGAAAGGAGGCCACAGTCAACTTCTGTTCAGTAAAGCTACTCACTTGTGGTTTCTATGTGACAGCTAGCGAGTGCTACCCTGTTTCCCCAAAAGGAAGACATCCCCCCAAAATAAGACCTACTTACAGTTTTGTCTCTTGCTGAAATATAAGGCATCCCC